CTCTCTCTCTCTCTCTCTCTCTCTCTCTCTCTCTCTCTCCCTATCTATCCCATTTAGTATTTGAAGTTTTAGCTACAGAAGTAAGACAACTAAAGGAAATTGAGGGGATACAAATTAGAAAGGAAGAAGTCCAAGTATCATTATTTGCAGATGATATCATAGTGTACATAAGCAATCCTAAAAAACCCACTAGTAACTCCTACAGCTGATAAACTCAGGGAAGTGGCTAGATACACAATTAACTCAAAAAAAGTCAGTAGCCCTTCTGTATACAAATGACAAATGGACTGAGAAAGAAATCAGAGAAACAACTCTTTTCACAATAGCCACAAATTATGTAAAATATTTTGGGGTAACTCTCACCAAGCAAATGAAAGGCAAAAACTTCAAATCTTTGAAGAAAGAAATTGAAGACGTTGGCAAGATCTTCCATGTTCATTGGTAGGGTTGGCAGGGAAAGATAGCTGGAATTGGGCCACATTTGGGGCATGGTGTAGAACCTAGTGCAGTGGAAACTTCCTGGTAACTATGAAGATGGCGCTTGTAAGCACTATTAATGGGGAATACAGAGTCTGAACTGGCCATCTCTTGTAGGCAGCCAAGGCTCCCAGTGGTGGAACTAGGTTGCATTCGGTTGAATTGTTGGCCGAGGGAGTCCAATGGCGATCCCCACACAGCTGAGGCTGATGCCAGGACAGAGAGATGCTGTCTGCAAACTGCTGGCGGGACTCTATTGCTGACGACAACATCCACAGGTCATTGAACGTAGAGAGCTGGTGCTTGCATGGAGCCTTCATGCCACATCCTAGTCTCTCTGGTGTAGGGAGGTACTCTACAGGTGCCAGAGTACCTTCTCACCAAAAGAGAAGCATGGACACCAATCCAACCACGAAAACTTTGTCCTACATCCTGCCCGCTTCCTGGAGAAATAATGCTGCAGAATTTGTGGAAGTGGCCAGCCGATGTCTGATTTAACTTGAGGCCCACCCAGTGAGAGGGAGCCCATACCAGACATGGGTTGGCTAGGCAGGAACCAGAGACTTGTTAGCCCAGAGACCTAGAATAGAACTAAACAGGACTGGCCTTTTTTTAAAAAAAATCAATTAAATAATTCATAATGATATCCTGCTATACTCATTGATGTTTTCTCCAGAGGCCATAAGAAAGGTTTCCTCTGGCAAAAGATAGGATGCAGAGACCCATGGGCAGACATTATGTGGCGTCTATATTTGCAGTCTCCATCTGGTCTATCCCCTCAGAGCTCAGGGAATCACTAAGAGGAAAGATTGTAGGAGTCAGAGGGGATGGAGGACACCAAGAGAACATGGCCTAAGCAGGACTCACATGGGCTCACAGAGACTGAAATGGCAAGCTTGGTATGGTTCTGCACCAGGTCCTCTGTGTTTGTTGTGGCTGTTAGCTTGGTGACTTTCTAACTGTGGGAGCAGTCAGGGAGCTCTGACTCTTTTGTGTGCTCTTGGGACTCTTTTCACCTATCAGGCTGCCCTGTCCAGCCCAGGTATAAGGCTTTTGTCTTGTCTTATTGTATTTTGTTTTGTTGTGTTTGATTGTTGATTCTTAGAGGCCTGCTCTTTTCTAAGGGAAACTGAGGCAGAGTGGATCTAGGGGAGAGGAGAGGTGGGAGGAGCTGGGAAGAATGGAAGGTGGGGAAACTGTAGTCAGGATGTATTGTATGAGAAGAACCTATTTTCAATAAAAATAAATAGATACATAAATAAAAATTAAAAATACGTTTAAAAAAATAGAGTATTATTGTGATGCTGCAGTGAGGAAAGAGGGCCAGCAGGGCCTTGACTCTAGCCTGTCTGAGGCACACCAGCTTCACAAAGTTGAAAATCCTTAAATGGACTCCAATAAAAGTCTCTGCACCTAGGCCTGGTGCTGGCCCATGCCCTTAATCCCAGCACTTGGGAGGCAAAGGCACTCAGATCTCTGTGAGTTCAAGGCCAGCCTGGGCTACATAGTGAGATCCAGGCCAGCCCAGGCTATAGACTGAAACCCTGTCTTAAAAAAGAAAAAGAAAACACTGTCTGCACCCGTGCTTCTCTGGGGTAATCATAAACTGTGGAGACAGGCTGGGTTTCCTGCCATGTGCCTTCATTGAGGGCTCCTTGGTGCAGTAGTACAGGGAGATGGTAAAGCTGGCATTGTTCCCAGCATCTGAAAACTGTGGTTCCCTTTCTGTCTCTGGCTTCCCACACTCTCTCCCTTTACACCCTGTGTTCCCACCCCACATCATCACTGCACATTAAAATTATCCTCTGAGGAGGATCTAAGCCCTCAGTGCTACTCATGGCTCCAGACTGAGGGTCATAGACCCTTTTATTTAGCTGTAGTGGGTACTAAATGACACCTACTATGCACCTAGAAGTTGAATTTGTGTTTGAGAATAGGTTATGAGGGCTTTCGGGGATTGCAGGCAAACAACACCATGCTGAGCATCCCAGGCTGTCCTCAAACTCCAGATCCTTGTGTTTCAGCCTGGATTCTAGGCTTACACATGTATGCCATCAAGCCCAATTTAACTTCTGGCTTTTTTTCCCCCTTGCTTTGTTTGCATATGAGGTTTGCTTGTGAGATTCCCTAGCCTCTGAGTCCAGAACAAAGACCAACAACATGGGATAAATGCCCAGGGAGTGTGGCAGGTTTAAAGAACACCACAAAAGAACCAGCCAGAAGTTACAAACTCCAAATCCAGCCTTTATTTTAGTGGCAGAGCAGAGAGGAGGCTCAACCCAGGTTAGGTCATTCCCAGACAGAGACAGCTGGACAGGCACCCTGGGAATGCCTCTCCACCCAGCTAAGAAATTGGTAGGAAGAGAAGAAGATAATACTGGTGCTGCCACTTCCCCAGCTGCCACAGCCAGGAGCTGGGAGACCTCAAGCAGCAAGCTGACCTCCAGAGGTCAGGACAGACCCAGAATCAGACAAGGTTCAGACAGGAACAGCAGCCATTTTGAGAGTATACAGACTCAACAAATGAGGAAACTCTTGAGGGCCCCCAGACAGCATCGAGCCCCATAGGGCCTGCAGACTGAATGCTCCGGAAGCACAACCACAGTGAGACACTCACAAAGAGGTCTTGATGGCCCCCACCCCATCCCCCACCCTCTTGTGCTATTCAGCAAGGGTAGGAGCAGGTCTGGAGGGAGAAGAGAGGAAAAGGTCAATGAAAAAAAAAAGCATGGGAAGAACACTGGCAGGACATGCATGGGTCAGGACAATGAAAAGGGCCTAAGAGGGGCCTCTAGCTGCTGCCCTGCTGCTCCTGCTGGCACTCTTGCTGGCGGATGAGGTTGGCCATAGGACTGGTGATACCGCCTATCATGGTCCAGTATTCATCAAAGCTGATGCGCCCATCGTGGTTGGCATCCAGGTTCTGGATGAGCTTGTCAGCTGCCTTCCGGTTCCCTGTGTCCTGTAGAAGAAACTGGAGTCAGTAAAGCTTGGGATGACCCAGACAGGACCCTAGACAGAGAGAATCTCAGAATCAGCCCTGACAGCTGCCGCCTTGGCCAAACCAGCAGGGCACAGGGAGGAGTCACTGAGCAGGGCCCCAGGGGTGGGGTGGGGCACACAGGAGGGGGTGTCACTGTGAGGAGCAGAGCAGGCAGGGAGAGCAGAAGTGGGGGTACCGTCAGCATGTGGTTCAGCTCTCTCTGCAGCATCTTGCGGAAGCTGCTCTTGCTGATCTTGTTCTTGACCAGGCTGTGCTTGGAAACATATTTATAGAAGTTTTCCACCAGGACGACAACGGCCTTCTCCAGCTCTGTATAGCAGTCAGCCATCTCCCTGCCTCACTCCTCTCTGGGCCTAGGAACCAGAAAGAGAGGCGATGAAAGAGACATCCGCACACACAGGCCCCAGAACCCCACAAACGGCTTGTCTTCCACAGGGAGGGGAGCAGGCCGGAACAGCAAAGTGAGTGTGGGGGTGGCCCTGCAAGGAGAACTATGTGGCTCCTCTAATCCAGGTGTTCCCCAGACAGACTGCCAACTGCCAAAACAGGTTCTCCAGGTCCTTCCTGTGCCATAGGCAGCCATGCTGCCTGTCAGAGCCCTCTGAGAGCAGGAGGCTCCTGTGGAAGAGCAGGCAGGTAACTGTCCCCCTACACATACCCAGGTCCCCTATTCTAGGAAACCATAGTGGAAAAGAATAGAGACAGAGAAGGCTAGGGGCTTTTATCTTCCACTCCAAGGACTGGCTGAGATCCCAGCCCTAGGCCACAAACCAGGAAAAGGAGCCCTTGCTCACCTCAACCCCTTGCAAGGGCTCTAAGGCAGTGAGTTCAGGGACTCAGGCCACCCACCACTGCCCCTCTCTAAGAAAGAGCAAGGTCCAGCTCCAACAGATTAGATTTTGTGTGGCTCCCCTCCTGGCCACACCCTGTCAGCCTCTCCAGATAACCGTTCCTAAGTATACAGCATGGCCCAACGACACCCTTCACCCCATTACCTAAGAAGATGCAGGCCCAGTTCTGCCCCAGCTGGAGACAGACTCTGGCCTCTGGCAGAAGCCAGAGGCATCATCCCCTCACCCCAGAACAAAAGGCACTCACACTCCAAGCGGATACAGCCTTCTGAATAACAGGATATGAGAGGAGCAGGCGGGTCTACTCTGTGTGTCGCCGCCCATGCCCAGAGCCCCTCCATACCAGCCGGGCAAATCGGACTCCCCGCCCACCCTCAAACATAAGAATGAAGTCCTGCTGCCCTCACCCAGCTGGTCCTAGGAAGGGGAGGTGGACACAAAGGGACACAGCCACTTGGGCAGGCCTATGCACCCACAGTTGGATTAAAAAAGATGGTGTTCCTTCACCAGGCCCCACCAGGCCTCTGCTTAGTCTCTTTCTCCCTTGCCTGTGCAATCAGCTTGCACACTCCTTTCAGCTGAGGGCCTGTCACTCTGGCCTTTCCCAAACTGTGCCTGCAGGAAAACTTGTCTTGACCTCTGTCATCTCTACACTCTTCCAGGACTCCCACAGCCATGTCTGTCTTCACCACGTCAACACCAGCTGGGACTATTAGCTGGTTTGGTAAGTCCCCAGCTCTTATCTCTCCATCTATGGAGCCAGCATAGGGCTTCTTACATTCAGTCACTGTTTTCTGATCCAAATGGCAGAATGTGTGGATTTGAGGTTTTTTAAACCTGAATATACCACTACCTTCTTTTTAGTCTCTGTAACTTGCCTGGCCTGCATTGCCTGGCCAAGTGCCCTGCTCAAGGAAGATGTTCCAATATTCCAACTCCTTCCAGCCCTAATGCCCAGCAGCCAAGGCCCCTCCCACACCTCTACACTTTTATGCATCTTTTTCTTAAGGATTGATCAGAACAGGAGGAAGGAGGCCGGGTTGCAGGAAGGAAGGAGAGTTGAGAGGGAGCAGGGTCAGGCTGGGGCATCTGTGGTGGGAAATCCTTCCCTCCTTACCCTCCTGACCACTGTGGCCTGAGGTTGGAAGGATGATGACACACAGTGCCAGACCCACAGGAAACTATATTCTTCCCCATATTCTGTTTGTTAAGGGTGTAACAGTGTGGTTTAATGTTTGAAAGACATTCAGACAAATTCTCTAGCATACACAAATAAGGAAGAAAAAAGATTTTTCACCCATGGTCTGTCTGCCCTGATGCCCTCGGGTGGGGTGAGGATGGCCTGTGGCCAGTGTTCCTGGAGATTCTGGAACTTGCACCAGGATCAGGAAGGGTGGCACTCAGGTTTCCCCCACCCTAGCCTTGAGAGCAAGAAAAGAATTGGAGAACCCCCACCAACCCCCACCCCTCACTGTCCCATAGCTGTTCCAAGGGAGGAGCTCTTCAGGAAACAGTCAAAGGGAAAACAGGAAGGAGCAGATAATTGGGGTGCTGTCCCTCTGTTGCTCTCCCCAAAGGAAGGACAGTCCAGGTCTCCCTCTATCTGCCTGAAGTCTTGTTCTTCCACCAGGGTAGCTTCCTCCTGCCCCTTAGTGCTGTGCCCAATCCCTACCTGGCCTCTTGCAGCAGCCAAGCAAAGAACTGACAGAGAGAAACACCCAACAGATGATGCAGACACCTGTCCCAGGAGCACCGGGCAGACCAGAGATGCAGCTTCTGGGTCCTGACTCCTTCCCAGGCCTCCTTCCCAGGGATCTGCCTCCTCCCAAGTTCTTATAAAATGGACAGCTCTGAGATAACCATCAGGACAAGTGATTTTCTGGAGCTTTTTCTGAAGACAGTATCAGAGTCAGGCAGTCAGGTGTCATTACTCTCCTTCTCCACCCTCCCCTGGGGCACAGAAGACAGGCTCAGCTGCCCCACCCACTTCACAGCCACCTGCTCCTGCAGCTGCCCCATCCGTCAACCAGTCAGGCCTGAGGACCTCCAGGCATGGGGAGAGGGAAATGGTACTGTTCCCTTCCTAGGCAGACCTATCCAGGAGGTAATTTCTTCACAGTCTTGGAAAGAGAGTTGGGGGTCATGAGGGCATGGGAGTATGCCAGTGTGTACTGAAGCTTCCCCCCCCAAAAAAGTAGAATAATCAGTTGCCCTCCAAAGAGCCCTCCGCAAAGAGGCCATTCACCTTGGGCCCCACCCTTCCCCCAAAGTTCTCTTAGTCTCCTGGACTGATTCATCCTTGAA